GGGATGAATAGAAGACTGCATTTAACTGTCCCTTAGGATGTTTCCAATTCAAAGGGCTCCCGTTCAGGCTGCAAGGGGTGCCAGCTGTCTTTATGTAGCTGATAAATGAGGTCCTTCATGAGCACCTGTAAAAGGGGGGTTTGGTGTACTTGGTGATATCCTAATTTATACCAAAATGAAAGATGAACATGTCAGATTAGTCAGGGCAGTTCTGAATAAGTTCTGTGCAGTCAGCTCTACGCCAAACTCTCAAAATGCGAGTTCCACAAGGAAAAAAATCGACTATCTGGGTTACCGTCTTTCCCATGAGTGGGTGGAAATAGATTTAGAGAAAGTGTGGGCTGTGCTGGAGTGGGTGCCACAGCGGACCAGGAGGCAGCTGCAAAGTTTCCTGGGTTTCTCTAACTTCTATCAGCAATTCATCCCCTCTTTTGCGCAAGTTGCACTCCCCATTACAAATTTGTTAAAAATGAAGGGGAGGACAAGCCAAAACCCACCCAGCCACTGAAATGGACTATGGAATGCCAGGTGGCATTTGAAAAATGAAAAAGGCTTTTCTCTGCCAAGCCGGTGCTTAAATATCTGGATTCAGAGAAGCCATTTGTCATTCAGGCTGATGCCAGCGACATAGTGGCGGGAGTGGTGTTATTCAAAGAAAATCAGGAAGGCCAGTTGCAACCTTGCACCTACACCTTGAGGAAACTCACAAAGACCGAACAAAGATGGATAGTGTAGGAAAAGGAAGAATATGCCATGTGCTGGGCCCTCCTCACTTGGAGACACTTCCTGGAAGGGAACAAAATCCCTTTTCAAGTGTGGACTGATCACAAAAATCTTGAAGGATTAAAAGCGCATAGGAAACTGTCCCCCAAGCAAGCTTGGTGGTCACAACATTTCCATCAATTCAATTTCACCATCTGGTATTTGCCTGGGGGGGGGGGATTTCTTAGCAGATGCCCTGCTAAGGATGCTACAATACAATAGCGCAAAAGCTGAAGTAGTCAAGCCACTGTTATCCACGAAACAACTAGCTGCTCCCGTCACCATGAGAACACAAGCAAAGAGTCTGCTCCTCCTGGACAGCACAGTAGGCGCGGAAGTCAGACCAGCACTGGAGAAGGACGAGTGGTTCCTTAGCCACAAAAATCTCTGTTCAGTGAATAACGAACTGCCACGGGAGAGGGAAAATTATATATACCTGCAACTCAGAGATTAAAATTCATGCAACTTTGCCATGATTCAAAGTTAGCTGGACACTTTGGCTTCATGAAAACCCTCCACCAGTTAAAGAGACAATTTTGGTGGCCATCCCTAAAGAAGGACATTGAAAGCTGTGTGGCTAGTTGCCTCATCTGTGCAGCAGCCAAGCGAAGACAAGGGGAAATGCCTGGCCTTTTACAGGTGGTAGTAAGCCCTTCAGCACCCTGGAGAGAGATTTCTATGGACTTTATCGTGGAGCTACCAGAGAGCGCTGGAAATATTGTTATTTGGGTAATGACAGACTTGTTCTCCAAACAGGCCCACTTTATACTGTGCCAAAAAATCCCAACTGCAAATGCCTTGGCTAAACTGTTTGTGTAGCAGATCTACTGGCTGCATGGAACCCCACAGCACATATCAGACAGAGGGGTATAATTCACCTCAGAGTTTTGGAAAGCTTTTTTGTGTCTACTAGGTACCGACCAGGGGCTGTCATCTAGTCATCATCCTCAAACAAATGGGGGGGGGGACAGAATGAACTCAGTACTAGAAAAATACCTGAGATGCTTTATAAACTACCAACAAGATAACTGGACTGACCTACTTCCTTTCTTTGAGGTGGTGTACAACAATGCAGTGCATTCTAGTACTGGCTACACCCCGTTCCAGGTCATTAGAGGACAGAGTTTCAACCCGATGCCTGAATTGCCAGCCAACGAACCCACCATCCCTTCCCTGAAGGAGTGGATCATGCAATTACAGAATACGTGGCCATTAGCTAAAAAAATGTTAGACGAGGCTAGAGAAGCTTATAAAGTACAGGCAGAAAAGAAACGGGTAGAGCCAAAGCCTTTCAGCTGGGGGATAAGGTATATCTCTCCACAAGGTTTTTGAAATCTTTACAACCTTCAAAGAAGTTAGGGTTGAAGTTTGTGGGACCTTTTCCCATCAAACGCATCATTAACCCAGTCACAGTCAAGTTGGAACTCCCCAAAACCGTAAGACAGGTTCATCTGGTGTTTTACTGTAGTTTACTAAAGCCGGAATTGAGTTCACCCTTAAGGCCAACTGCATATTCCCCACCACAGCCTATTAAGGTGGAAGGAGAGCAACACTTTGAAGTTAAAGAGATTTTAGACTCCAGAAAACACCATGGGTCAACCCAATATTTGGTGGTGTGGAAAGACCTCCCAGCCACCCAGAATGAGTGGGTGAATAAAAAACATTTGAGGGCCCCTAAGTTATTTAAGAAGTTCCACACTTGCTACCCTGACAAATGTGACTAACCCTTGTGTTTCCTTTTATCTCCCTGTTATTATTTTGTCTTTCTCCAGGTGGATCTTTCATTTTTTTTAAGAGGGATGGCATGTAAGAACCCCTATTCTTCCCTTCCCTATTCTTCTTCCTCCTCATTTTCAGGTTCTGTCATTCTAGTGGGGGGAGGGGACCTATGGGTATTTGCAGTGTATTATCTTTGCTTTGTTCTTTCTTCTTTGAGGTATCTTTCTTGGGGTGAGAATGGAATGTTCCTCCGGCCATCTGCCTTATCTCCAGGTGGAGAGAAGCCGCGGAGAGACCTGACAACCTTAAGAGCGGCGCCTTATTGGTTCTTTTCCACAACAATTTGCTTAAATTTGTTTTGTATTTGAGTTAAAGTACATTATTGATTTTGTTATTTGTATAGTTGGATAAGTTTATTTAGAATTTGTTTGTTTATTTGTAACCCTGTAACCATCTCTGGGAAGTGAGGGGGGAGGGAGGGGGTTATTTTAGGGGGGGATATTGTTAAAAACTTGTATAAAACTTTTCAATTAAAAAAAACACAATTTGACACCTATGGATTGGTTCTGTTTGAACTGGCCGAATGGACTGTTAGGGTGGGGTTTGACTGGGTTCTTTTAATCTATTGGTTTGCGTGGGAAATCCTCAGATCCTGCCTTACTTTCCTGCTGTCAATACCTTCCAATAAAAGTTCCTGTTGAAACAATGCAAGTTTCAAGAGTTCTGCTTTCTTGGGAGGTTTAACTGAGGCAGGACCGTTTGTGCAATAACTCCCTTTTATTTGCTCATACATTTTCCCTTTGAAGAAGGTATGTTGGCGGTATTGGAGTAGCTTCATGATTTGTGTCCTGGTTAGATTGTTCTGATCTGTATTCTTCTCCTAGTTTTTATCTATTACTTCATATGCTAGATTGGGGGGGGGATGGATGCAAGCTGGGATACTAGCTCAAAGGAGACCATTACCTCATCGGAAGCCACATACAAACACTGTATTGTCATCTATTCTTAACTGTCTTTACTATCAGAATTTAAAATTATAAGTATTTCTACAAAAAATAAAATAAAATATTTCTTCATACAACTATTCATTTAATGACCATTCAAAGATACAATGGTACTGAAAAAAAAATTAAAACTGTTTTTCACACTTGCAACTATTGCAGCCATAATCAAAATTAGGGTGCTTGGCAATTGTCATGTGTTTACAATAGTTGCAGTATTCTGGGGTCATGTGAATGTCATTTGTGACCTTTTCAACAAGCAAAGTCAATGGGGGAAGCTGGTTTTGCTTAATGACTTGCAGTGATCTGCTTTATAACCATGGCAAAAAAAAATGTTGTAAAAAGATGTATAGCTCACTTAACTGCCTTGCTTAGCAATGGAAATTTTGGTCCCAGTTGTGAACATAAATCAAGGACTACCTATATTTGTGGAATATTAACAATAACAATTAAAATATTCTTCCACAAAGCTGATTTGTTACAATGCTTCTTGTGCTTAGATTTGGCATTACTATGCTTTTTAATTGTACGGGAAAGGAAAACTTTCAACTTTTATAAAGTGTGCAAGGGTGCAAGTTCTTAGATAAATACTTTTTAAATAAGTGCTTCTGTCCCATTTGCAATGCTATATTCAACATTTGCATCATGCTCACATCTTTAAAAAAAACTTTCTTATGCTTATTGATTATGAACTGTACTAAAACACAAAACACTACTATAATAATGTAAAAGAGAAGCCAGTAAGATCCTACCCTACTTTCATCCATGCAATTGTATATTTATTGCAATACAGTAGAACCTTCAATTATATATTTCTCTTTTTATAATTTAGCCATCCATTCTCAGAATCTTTTTATGTTTGTTATCTTGTTTGTCAAGTTTGATTATTAAGCTTTACAAAAGTAATGTGATGCACACTGACATGCTTCTCTTTTGATTCCATGCTGGTTGGCAAGTTCAAACACAGAGAAGCTTAATTTGGCTGAATAAATCTCAGCCATGTTGTTCTGTGCAACCCTACTTTTTTCTTTCCCCTTCTCTGGCAGGCCACAAGGAGAACATTGAAAGTTTCCACTTCTGTTTTTAGCCAGCAGAAATTTAACATACTATTCAAACCAAGCAATAGCAATAACAACTTAGAAATACATTACTACATAAAAGGGAGCTCCTCAGAAAATCTAAATACTTTCAAGTGCCGCTGATTTACAATATATGCTTAACTTCTCCATAAAAAATAGATTTGAGAGCGGTTATTTAATTTTGACAGAAATTATTCAGCTTAATTTTAGTAAGAAAAACTAGTAACAACACAATTATTTAAATATTTCTATAGCATCAAAATATTATATATATACTTAATTTTTAACATTTGTTCTCTTTTGGAAGCACATATTTTACAAAATGAGGAATATTAAAATTAGATTTGTTCAACAGCTTCTGTTCTTCCCAGAAAATATCTGACTAAGCATTTTCTGCAATATATGCTATTAAGACTTGAAGAAAAATTCCCTTGTTTACCTCAAATTGCAGCTACTTTCATCTGATTTTGCAACAGAGGAAATAAGCTCTTCATCTTTCCTGGATTTTTCAGTTTGCCTCTTTGCTTCTGTTGATGTTCCCTGAAAACACAGTTTTATAAGCAACAAATTATTAACTTTCAGTTTCCTTAAACATATTATTACACACCCCTTCATTTGTGGATTTGCCTGAAGTCCACAAAATATCCTGCATTCTGCTGATTTAGCTTAAACAAATGAAACATCTTAGTTAGTTTCACAAATTTTACATTCAAGTTACTAATTCATCTGACCAGTTAAAAAGAAGAAACTATAATAATTTGCAATTCTGTTTGGGCAAAACCTAAATGAGGACACTGAAAAACTAATGATTATGTATTATGCACAAATGTATTTGGCATGCAACATAAATAAACAAGATTACAAAAAGTGAAGCTTTTAAAATAATTATTTATACTTGTGAATCAATCTATCTATCTATCTATCTATCTATCTATCTATCTATCTATCTATCTATCTATCTATCTATCTATCTATCTATATCTCTCCAATGCATTCTTTCCTCTCCAGATGTTTTCAATTTCAAGATCCATATTTTCTTAACATAGAGTAGCTGGGAATTAAGAAAGTTGAAATCTTAATACCTCTGGAAGCATTAGGCTGAAGATGATTGATATAATCTCTAGAGCAGGGGTGTGGATTTCAACTCCCAGAATTCCCTAGGCAGCTGAGAGTTGAAGTCCAGAAGTCTTAAAGTTGCCAAGGTTGAACACCCCTTCTCTAGAGTCAGGATCTAATATATAGCTTCAGTACCTTGACTGGATCTAAGGTATTGACAAAATAAAATGAAATGGCACCCATTTGTGTATAATTTATTGCAGGGCATAGTCAGATGAAAAAGTGATTATTCATCATTTTTTACCCTTGGCTTCCAACTAATATAGTGTCAAGGTTCCGACTGAAAAGCCCAATCAAATAAACACAGCAGAGACATTTTGGTCTCTAATGTAAAACTTTATTAGGCATAGCATACCGGCAAGGTAGAAAGAAAACCAGCTCTGGCAATATGGCAGGAAAAAGATAATTAAAGGAGTAAAACCTTTCCTCCCCTCTCTGACAGTTCAGCTCACATTGCCAATTAGTCTTCAAATGATTGTTATGAGAAGAAAGTCTCTATCTGCCAAAACATATCTTCAGCAACTTTGGCTCTCGTGCTACTAGAAACCACCTGTGCATTCGAAACCTTTCCCTCCCCTCTTGTAACTGTAGGTAAGCTAGAAGCAGCGTTCTAACGCAAGGGGGTTGGGGGAACCTGGAAAACAAAATGAATCCACATTATTACTTGTTAACTTTCTCTTGCCCTGTTCCCGTCTTCTGGGGATATTTAGTATGGAATTCTTTTACTAAATGATGTGCTTTTATATTGTGAGCTTTTACCCATCTAGCTTCAGATATTTGATAGCCCTTCCATTGGATTAGGTATTGTAAGTTCCCTTTGTGAATTCGGGAGTTAAGGATCTGCTTGTCAAGGCGCTGGGACTGCCTTCCCCACTGGCCTCATAGTGGACCCCTGAAATGGCTTCAGTAGGCTGTGTGCAGTGGAATATTGGATGCCAGTATTCTAGGTAGCTTGATCTCTACTGTCACTGAGTTTATAACTTTCACAACAGGGAAAGGGCCTATGTATTTTGGACCTAGCTTCTTGCAAGTTTGTTTCAAATTGAAGCATTTTAGTGGATAGATACATTTTTCCCCTACCCGGAGCGTCCCGTAGAGAACTCATCTCTTGTCCATCTGTTTTTTCTGACTTCCAGCTGCTTTGTTTAACGCTTTCTTTGCATCACTCCAAGAATTAAATAAATTGGTCACTAAATGTATATGGCAAAGGAAAAAACCCAGGATTAAATTAAAACTCTTACAAGATATGAAAGATAAAGGGGGATTGGCGTTACCAGAGTGGGAAATATACTACCAAGCATCGAGCTTAACTTGGCTAAAAGATTGGATGGATTTGAAAAATACTAGAGGTTGGGTTTTTTTTGTAAAAATTTTTATTTTCAATTTTACAATAATAACAATCTTACAAATACTTCAGATAAAAAATAAAACAAATTGATACACACTACATTCAGTCTTGCCCGCCCATTCCTCCCCAAACCGCATCCCACCTCAAACCAACTTACTTCTTTCCCTCTTTTTCTTCACTCACCCCCTCTCCTCCTTCACCTCAACCTTCCTACTTACTTCTCACCTTCTTCTCCTCCCTCTTGATGCGGTCCAGGGGAAATGCCCGAGCAGTTCCTCTCTCAAAATTAAAACATTAATATTATATACAATAAGACTATTTCTACTTTATCTGAACTACTTAAACTTCAACCCATCCACCCCCACCCCCCTCCCCCCACCCCTCCCCCTGACTTCCCAGAGCAAAATACAGGATTATGCAAACATATTAAACATAATCTATTTAAGTTTACTAATTATACAATAAACAAAATCTTAAAAACCCTTAACTCTCTTCAAACTTTAACATCATAAGTTTATAAACGAAATCATTACTCATAGAATAAGTGAAACTTTGTAGTTCCATATTTCTTCTGAACATATTCTATCCATCTTCTCCATACATTAAAATATCTTTCTTGTGAATGGTCCTTTAAATAAGCAGAAATTTTAGCCATTTCTGCTAAATTAGAAACCTTAAATACCCATTCTTCTAAAGAAGGCAGAGTATCCTTCTTCCAATATTGACCCACCAGTAATCTTGCTGCTGTTATTAAATTCAACATTAAGATAGTTTCTTTAACATTAAAGTCCACAAAAATTCCCAAAAGAAACAGTTGGGGAGTAAACTTAATCTTCCTTTTAAAAACCTTTTGAATGTTCCGCCATATCATAATCCAGAAGGTTTTAATAACTTTACAAGTCCACCAAACATGAAAATAGGTTGCATCCAAGCAACCACATCTCCAACATTTAGGTTGCAGGTTCGGGTACATACAGGACAACTTTTTGGGATCCAAATGCCATCTATAAAACATTTTGTAAAAATTTTCCCTCAAATTCTGGGCCTGCATAAATTTAACATTTCTAGTCCAAATTACCTCCCATAAGTCCAACGAGATCGGTTCTTGAATATTCTGGGCCCATTTAATCATACAATCTTTAACTAACTCTGTTTCTGAATCCAATTTTATTAACTCATTATAAATTCTTTTAATATGGGCACATTTCTGATCCTTGATCTGAATTACCAAATTTTCATCTACTAAAGTAATTCCCACTTTCTTATCCAAAGTCCATCTCTGCACGATTTGCAAATATTGAAACCACGATTGTAAAATGTTTTCTTGCCTTAACACATCAGAAGACTTTAACTGCCAATCAGTGCCTGACCAAATAAGTAACTCTTTATACGAAATGTTGTCAAAATTCACCCCCTTAGAAACCCCCTGGATTGCTTGTCCAGGGATCCCCCAAATAGGTATTTTATAATTTAACTTATAATAATATTTTTTCCAAACTCGAAGTAAAGCATATCTTAAAATATGTGACTTAAAGACCAAATCTACTTTCTTATCAAAAATTAAATATGCATGCCAACCATATAATAAATCCCACCCTTCAAGAACAAGAATATCTCTATTTGTTAAATTGAGCCAGTCACTTACTAAAGTTAAAGTGGCCGCATCATAATATAATTTCAAATTTGGTGCTTTAAGTCCACCTCTTTCTCGAGCATCTTGTAAAATCTTAAACTTTACCCTTGATTTCTTCCCACCCCAAATAAATTTATTAATACCCTTCTGCCACTCATCCAAATTAGCATCCTTCTTTAAAATGGGTATCATCTGAAACAAAAAAAGAAACTTTGGTAGAACATTCATCTTCACTACTGAAATTCTCCCCAATAACGATAGTTGTAACTTTTGCCAATCATTTAAATCTTTTTGAACTTTAACCCATAAGCGTTCATAATTATTCTTATACAATTTTCCATTAGATGTTGTAATATAAACTCCTAAATACTTAACCTTATTAACTATTTCATAACCGGTTGTTTCAGCTATAAAATCTTTTCCCTTCCTAGACATATTTTTCAATAATATTTTAGTTTTATTCTTATTTACCTTAAAACCAGAGACCTGTCCATACTGTGCTAAAATTTCCACCAAATTTTTGACCGAATCTGTTGGATGGGATAATGTCACAACCAAATCATCAGCAAAAGCTCTCAGCCTATAATCAATCTTACTTATTTTTATTCCTTTTAATCTAGATGAGTCTCTAATTTTAATAAGTAAAATCTCCATTGTTAATACAAATAGCAAGGGGGATAAAGGACAACCCTGTCTTGTACCTTTTCCTATTTTAAATACGTCTGTTAATCCCCCATTAATTACAATTTGTGCCGATTGTTGTTGATAAATGGCCTTGAGAGCAGACAAGAATTTATCTCCAAAATTCATTTCCTCTACAACTTTCAATAGAAAATTCCAATCTAATTGATCAAAAGCTTTCTCAGCGTCTATAAATATTAAAGCAACAGGGATTTGGTTGTTCTTATCCAAATACTCTATTAAATTAACAATTTGTCTTGCATTGTTTTTCATATATCTCCCCATTATAAATCCAGATTGGTCAGTATGAATCAATTGTTTCAAAACCTGCATTAATCTATTTGCCAGTATCTTTGCAAAAATCTTACAATCTGTATTTAAAAGAGATATAGGCCTACAATTTCTAGGTTGGAACAGATCCTGGTCATCCTTTGGAATTAATAATATGAAGGCCGTTCTCCAAGATGGAGGTAATTCTGCTCCAGATAAAATATCATTAAAAAGTACCTTTAATAGTTCTATCATTTCTTCAGATAACGTCTTGTAATAAATCGCTGTTAACCCATCAGTACCTGGAGTCTTACCAACCTTCAATTATTTAATTGCAAAAATAATCTCTTCAGAAGTAATTAAACCATTAATCCCATCACATTGATCACTCATAAGTCTAGGAAAATGTGCTCCCTGTAAATATTTTTCTATATCTGAAGTTTGTATACTTTCACTAGCATATAATTTAGAACAAAAATCTAAAAAAGACTT